CTCACCCCCACCCCACCCCACCCCGCGCGAATGCGGAGACGTAAAACACTTTTTGTGTGGCGCGGCTGCGCGGCGGCCCGGGGCCACCTTAAATCAGGGCCCGTTGTTGTATTAACAAACACCCGACAACTGCCATAATACCGGCCCGCCCCGCCGCACCCAGCCGCACTCCGCCGCACCCCGCCGCACCCCGCCGCACCCCGCCGCACCCCGCCGCGCGCTCGGACAGTCTGCTGCTTTGACGCCGAGTTTTGCGCTCCGGCGGCGCTTAGGCGGCGGCGGCGCGGGGAACTTGTTAGTGTGGCGAACGAAGCCTTGATGTGAAATATTAGCCAGAGTGTTTTCCAGCGGCGGTGGCGGCGAGGCATCGGTCGACCGGGACGAATAAATTAATTGCAACGGTCAAGAGGAGGAGGAGGAGGAGGAAGTAGCAGATTCTCATCCCGGGAGCAGCGGATGGTGGTGAGGTCGTCCCTCTCGAGTCCGTCGTGCTGGCCCTGCCCCTGGCCGAGCTCGTGCTGGTCGTCGCGCTCATTACATCATAAGCGATAAATCTGCCAGCAATTATGTGATTGCCTGCGAATAATGTTTCCCTAAAAAAAACGACGAGAAGGGAAAAGAATGCAGTGGCCGTTTTCACGCTTTTAGCGCCCGTCGCCCGCGCGCGCTGCTCTCCGGATTCAAATTAAAGCGAATGTTTTAATTAGAGTAATTGTTAAGTTTGCCGCCGCCGCCGGCCAGGGAGGACCGACGGCGACGACTCCGTGTCGCCACGCTACGTCGCGCCACGCCTCGCTCGTCCACTGAGTCAGCCACTCTGCCAACTCAAATTTTATTACGCGAATTTTGTGTAAAGCTAATGGGCTTTTATTGTTTTTTCTACGTAACTTTTTCTCACAAGAATGTTTCTTGACATATTAAAATATGTTTTAAATTTCTACTTTACATTTGTTTACTTTTTGCCTTGCTTAGAAATTTGTATCGGCTGGTTCACCCCTGTGTGTGGGTGTGTGCGTGCGTGCGTGCGTGCTTGTCCACCCTCAACCTACTTGGCTTATTTATAAGTGATAGCGCGCGGGGGCCGCGGGTCGTTTCGGAATAGAAGCGTCGTGGGGCATTGGTCGGAACGAGAGAGCGAGAGAGCGAGGGAGCAGCGGGTCTGTTTGTGTTGGTGGGGTGCTCTATGCTGTATGGTCGGACATGAAAAGCCCGAGAGGCCATTGCGTCGCCCCCTTTGACCGGCGGGGCCGGCGGCGGGCCGCGCCCTGTGCTGCCGTGCTGCTTGACGGCCTGCTTGAGCCTCCGCTAGCGCCACCACCGCCGCCGCGGGAGCTGGTCGGCCGGGCGGGCTGGTCCTTCCCTGTCAGTTTCAAGCCTGAGCGCACGGCCGGGCGGTGCATCATCGTGTTTCAGGGCGGGACGGTCGGTTTCAGTCGCGAGAGAACATTTATATTTATATTATAAATACCCGGGCTGCCGGCCGCGGCCGTGTCAATCTGTGTTCCTGCGCTGCGGCCGGACGGCTTGCGTCACAATGCGCCGCTATTTGTGCGGGCCGGGCCGCGGCCGGTGGCGGCGGAGGGTCGCGAAATACAATAGTGCGACAGAGAGAGAGGAGAGAGAGAGGAGAGAGAGAGAGAGGAGAGACTTTGTGGGCTGTCCTCGGCCTGGGGGGTGCGAAAAAGATGAGGCGTGTGGCAGGGCCGGGCAGGGCAGGTGGCTCTCTCTCTCTCTATCTCTTTCTCTCTTCCCCCTCTCTCGTGGTTCGACGTCGCGCGTCCGTGACGTTCTGATCGTGATTGGGAGAGGCGTTGACTTATTTTCGAGGCGTCAAGGATTTAGCTGCCGCGGCTGCTGGTGCAGCTGGTGAGGCCGAAAGGGTTTTTGTCGCAACCCTGCGCCCCGCCCCGCCCCGCCGCGTCTCTCCGACCTCGCCGATAAGTCGCACTCCCGGGGGCGTCCTCCTCATTAGCCCCCGAGAGGGACGGAACGAAAAGTCCGTCACGGAAAAATAATTTGGTGGTGCCGTGTCTTGGAGGGCATCCAAGAAGCATTAGGCGAGACAGCCTTGGGTCAAACCCTGCGCGGGGGGCGGGAGG